AGCTTAGTATTAATGTTCTGGATTTCTAATAATAGATTTTGTATTGTTTCAAATTTTGCATTTATTTTGTCTGTTTGTTCTTGTCATGTTTTCCTGAGTTCTCTAAAGCTTTTTAACTGTGTCCTCTTGCTTTTCTCAGTGTTACTGTTAATCCTTTGAAGGTACCTAAATATCATTCATTTTAATTTTTCTTTAGTTAGTTTTCATGCAACACTCAGGAACATTTTCTGGTTCTGCATCTTGGTCATTTGTTTCAGCCATTCTCTCTTTTTCCTTTGTGGGACCTAAAATTATCTGTTATCTCTGAGATGCTGTGGTGTTGTGATATTTATATTTAATTGATGATTGTATGTTGATGTGTTCTTAGGTTCTTACCAACTGTCTCCTGTGGGTATAGTTAGAAAATTGAAGTGTACATACTGTTCACCATTCATGCAGTTTAGGGTAGGTTTAGCTTGAGTTGGCTGCTGTCTATCATTGATCAGGTGGTATAGGAGCTGGTTTTGGTTCTTGCCCAGTGGATAGAGCTGCAGAGGGTACTGTTCAGGCGGGGCTGTGTGGGCATGCTTACTGTCTCCTCTCTAGTGAGAAAGAGGAGAAGCCACCCTACTCTGTCTCATACACACAAGAAAACAAAACAGAACAAGCAGACAAGGAACCAATAATGAAAAGGGAAAAAAAAAGAAATAAAAACAGGCAACAACCAGAAAATGAGAATATAGTAACTAAAAAGAGAAAAAAGGGATAGGAAAATGGAATGATAGGAGAGAAAATTTAAAAAAAGAGGAGAAAGGAGGGATGAAAAGAAGGAAAAACTACAGCAGAGATAGAAAAAATAAAATTCAAGGGAATTTAAAAAGAAGGAGAAGAAAGAACAAACAAATAAAAACAATGATACAAAAAGGCAAAAATAAAACAAAAAAGCCAATGTAACTATTTGACCCAAAGAGGAAACTCTGGGGGACTCCTGCCAGCCAAGGAGTTCACAAGATGTGTACAGGAAGGATATGACAGCAGAGTTCCTGGCCTTACATGGAGTTCCTATAGGCCTAGGTGTTATTGGAGTTCCTATAGGCCTAGGTGTTATTGGAGTTCCTATAGTCCTAGGTGTTGTTGGAGTTCCTATAGGCCTAGGTGTTGTTGGAGTTCCTATAGGCCTAGGTGTTGTTGGCGTTCCTATAGGCCTAGGTGTTGTTG